GCCAAAGAATGCTCAAACTACTGCACAATTGCACTAATCTCACACGCTAGTAAAGTAATGCTCGAAATTCTCCAAGCCAGGCTTCAGCAATACATGAACCATGAACTTCCAGATGTTCAAGCTGGTTTTAGAAAAGGCAGAGGAACCAGAGATCAAATTGCCAATATCTGCTGGATCATCGAAAAAGCACGAGTTCCAGAAAAACATCTATTTCTGCTTTACTGACTACGCCAAAGACTCTGACTGTGTGGATCACAATAAACTGGAAAATTCTTCAAGAGATGGGAATACCAGACCACCTGACCTGCCTCTTGAGAACTCTATATGTAGGTCAGGAAGCAACAGTTAGAACTGGACACGGACCAACAGACTGATTCCAAATAGGAAAAGGAGTATGTCAAGGCTGTATATTGTCACCCTGCTTATTTAACTTATATGCAGAGTACATCACGAGAAACGCTGGGCTGGAGGAAGCACAAGCTGGAATCAAGATTGCTGGGAGAAATATCAATAACCTTAGATATGCAGATGACACCACCCTTATGGCAGAAAAAGAAGAAGAATTAAAGAGCCTCCTGGTGAAAGTGAAAGAGGGAGTGAAAAAGTTGGTTTAAAGCTCAACATTCAGAAAACTAAGATCATAGCATCCGGTCTCATCACTTCATGGCAAATAGATGGGGAAACAGTGAAAGCAGTGACTGCTGACTTTATTTTCTGGGCTCCAAAATCACTGCAGATGGTGACTGCAGCCATGAAATTAAAAGATGCTTACTCCTTGGAAGGAAAGTTATGACCAACCTAGACAGCATATTAAAAAGCAGAGAAATTACTTTGTCAACAAAGGTCCGTCTGGTCAAGGCTATGGTTTTTCCAGTGGTCCTGTATGGATGTGAGAGCTGGACTGTAAAGAAAGCTGAGCGCCAAAGAATTGATGGTTTTGAACTGTGGTGTTGGGAAGACTCTTGAGAGTCCGCTGGACAGCAAGGAGATCCAAACAGTCCATCCTAAAGGAGATCAGTCCTGGGTGTTCATTGGAGGAACTGATGCTGAAGCTGAAACTCCATTACTTTGGCCACCTGATGTGAAGAGCTTACTCACTGGAAAAGACCCTGATGCTGGGAGGGATTGGGGGCAGGAGGAGAGGGGATGACAGAGGATGAGATGGTTGGATGGCATCACCGAGTCGATGGACATGAGTTTGAGTAAACTCCAGGAGTTGGGGATGGACAGGGAGGCCTGGCGTGCTGCGGTTCATAGGGTCACAAAGAGTCGGACATGACTGCACAACTGAACTGAACTGATAAATTTAGAAGAAGAAATCTGCCTAAAGTACTTCTGAAATTTCTCTGAGAACCCCAGGGAAAAGACAGGCTTTTTATTTCACCATATACAATAAAAGAGAAGCTAAAAAATAATCAAGCTTATATAACACATTATTACTTTTAAAGAGTTGTGTAAGAACTGTTGTATCAGAAGACATTAAGCTTTCCCTTGGTTGAAATGCATAGGTAAAATGGTATTCATACATTTCAAAACTGTTTACTTCATGAGAAGTCCCTAGAATTATGTAAATTCCCTTGCTGTTCATAATATTTTTTTAATTTTTTTCCATTTATTTTTATTAGTTGGAGGCTAATTACTTTACAATATTGTAGTGGTTTTTGCCATACATTGACATGAATCAGCCATGGATTTACACATGTATTTCCCATCCCGATCCCCTCTCCCGCCTCCCTCCCCACCCCATCCCTCTGGGTCTTCCCAGTGCACCAGCCCCGAGCACTTGTCTCATGCATCCAACCTGGGCTGGTGATCTGTTTCACCCTTGATAATATACATAATATTTGTTTTAAAGTTCAGGAGAAACACTGACCAAGACACTTATGAAACAACTCTAAATAGGCTTTCTGTATATTTCAGAGGTACACTGCCCCATACAACCAAATTTCTTTGTTTGTAGCATTAGTCTTATTTTCAGCCTTCGTCAGATCTTCCGTATTTAACAATGATCACCAATAACTTAACCACAATCATTCTCTGTCAACTACAGTTTCTGTTTTGTTTTGATGCTTGTCCAAAGACTTTCTATAAACCAGAGAGTTTCTATCATCAATGAAGAAGAACAGATTCCAAGTCTTCTGGGAAAGGACTGTTTCAGGCACTTCAAACTATTGATACCTCAAGGTAAGAAGGCTGTAAACTGACATTCTGACAAGTTGCAAAGATCACTGGATTGAGGATCATTTCTAGAACTGTTTATAGTCTAAAAGTAGATGGAATCTGGTGACAGATTCAATGAAACAAGAATCAATTACATTAAAAATCTGGGGAAATTTAGAAGAGAGGAATTCACTTAAATTTCTAGGTTCTGCAAATGGTATATGAAAAGTATCTTAGACTTAGTTTCCTATTCTTCAGAGATCTTTACAACTTCAATCTCAGATTTCTTATGAAAACTATCTAGAAGTTAATTTTGTGACTTTCATAGTTGTTCAATATTGTACGGTTCTAGACTTGCGAAGCAAACTTGAAGAGGCCTTTGTTATGGAACAGTCTTGCTGCACCTATGAAAATAGGCCAAACATAATGAGACCAGCCTTTCTTGTGATCAAGAATAATCTGAGATTATTGTGACTATGTGGGAATACAGGTTGTCAGAAAAAACTGTTGAAGACTCTGAAACGAGCAGAGCTGACACTGATTAGCATACCCTTCAAGGCTGTCTGCACCTTTACTACCTTTGTTTTATACTTCTACTGCAACTGAGAGCAATGCAAATGATTCTTATCGATAGAAATACAAACGAAAATCTTCCCTCAAATGTAACAGATTAAACTTTGTGGATATTGATCAATTTTACATCTACTTATAAATTCATCTTAGTCTTCCTGATATCCTACACATAAATGTGTTCTTTGAATTCTCCTCTGAACTGGCTATAACATCTTACTAGTTCCCTTTGTAATTAATGAGCTCAATAAAATCTTTGACACCTGTTCATTTAAAATTATGAAAATGGCAGTTGGTAACTTAGATAGCATATTAAAAAGCAGAGACATTACTTTGCCAACAAAGGTCCATCTACTCAAGGCTATGGTTTTTCCAGTGGTCATGTATGGATGTGAGAGTTGGACTATAAAGAAAACTGAGTGCCGAAAAATTGATGCTTTTGAACTGTGGTGTTGGAGAAGACTCTTGCGAGTCCCTTGGACTGCAAGGAGATCCAACCAGTCCATCCTAAAGGAGATCAGTCCTGGGTGTTCACTGGAAGGACTGATGCTGAAGCTGAAACTCCAATACTTTGGCCACCTCATGCGAAGAGTTGACTCATTGGAAAAGACCCTGATGCTAGGAGGGATTGAGGGCAGGAGGAGAAGGGACGACAGAGGATGAGATGGTTGGATGGCATCACCAAGTCGATGGACATGATTTTGAGTAAACTCCGGGAGTTGGTGATGGACAGGGAGGCCTGGCGTGCTGAGGTTCATGGGGTCGCAAAGAGTTGGACACTACTGAGCAACTGAACTGAACTGAACTGATACTACTATGAAATAATGAAACCTATACATTTTAAAAGCAGAAGAGGAAAGCTACCAGATTTAAGTTAATGATCAGAAAAATAGATAAATTTATATGAACAAAAACATGTAAAATATGATATACAGCATAACATTTCTATGCAAAGTAAAAAGAAACCAAGAATAATAAATTATGAACTATAAAATATTTACCCTTTCAAATAATACAAAAGTATACCAATAGTGCTTACATGCTGACCTCAAAGGTTTCACAAAGGGAAACCAGCACTTTTGAAACACTATCTTCAGCTGAATTATTCTCAAACTTCATTCCATAAAATCATATATAAAAAGTCTTAAGATAATTATACTACAAATGTGCTCTAACTTCAGCAAAACTATGTATTACTTATGTCCTGTTGCATTTGGAACTTCAATTTACACTGGGCAAGTTATCTGACATCTCTGTATCTCAGTGCCCATAACCTTAAAATGAGGATAACAAACCCCACCCTCAGAAGGTTGTTTTGTGAATTAAATGAGTGAACACATGTAAAACAATCAGAATAGTATATGACCCACAGCAAATATTATTTTGCATGCAACAGTACATGCTATGAAACATATCATGAAATAAAACTAATAACATTTCTCAAACTCAAGATGAATATTTGGTTTTTAAAAGTTTTTTTATATAAAACTCAGAAAAAACCAAAGACTAGAAGCCTTTTAAAAGCATTTCTAAATCAACTTTTTCTTATTGTTGGAAGTTAGACAGCTTCTTGCCTTTTTATTCCCCATTCCTAACACTGACTTCAAACTGAAACAGACACTTAAAATGGAGGATGAGGAGAAAGGATCCATATAATACATTCAGCCTGTGAGGCAACAAAAAAATATTAAAATGGCCATATTATAAAATTTTATTTCTAGGCACAAACTAAAGCTATCTCAATCAAACAAAGAAATACAACTTTCCATAAAAACTGGCTTTTTTTGAAGGGAGGGATACAGTTTCTCATTAACATTGTAAGGAATAGAATTAGACCTTTAAAGTCCCTTCTAGCTCCAAAATTCTTTGAATGTATGAATACAGGAAGCCTTAGAGAGCAAAAACTGGGAATTAGAAATACAAAAAAGATATTACTTTTAGTGGAGTAAATAGAGCTTGATGTAAAGGTACATTACTAATCCTTTCTATTTTCTAAAACAAGAACATATATATTTCTGCTGGAATAGTTTTTGGTCAAGCACTGTTAAAGTCTCAAACTCCTCCTATTTTTTTTTTAACATTTATAGAGGAGAAAGGACTGTACTGCTATATAATTTACCAGAAAATCGAATCATAATAAAAAGAACTTCAGAGGAAGAAGAAACAGTGAAAACTTATTTAACTCATGCCAAATAATCTTAAAGTCATTTCTAAAAGTAATTTTTGTAAAAATCAGAATCATGACAAAAGATAATCAACATAAGATATACCTATGTTTCGTAGAATTTCAACAAGTTTTTCTCTTTTTGAGTACTGGCCAACTTGAAGAATGGTCTGCTGAACATCTCTACATGCTCCACCCACTTGTCCAACAGCAACAAACAAATAATTCGACTTTAAAAACTCCCCAGCCAACCTTGAAAGACAAAAAGTATTCCTTAACTTATTCTCTTCCATTAATACTAATAATATTCACTGAATTCCTGCAAGTGTTACTTCAACATTTATAAGCCAGATTATAACATTTATAAGTCAGATTATAACAGTCATAATAAGAGATGGTAGATATTACATGATCCAAGTATTACTTTCAAATATCATTGTAAAATGTTAGCATTCTGCAAAACATTTATTACAAATGAAAAAGTCTGTGTCAAATGATGGGTAAGTAATTTCAACTGGAAGCCCTGACCACACAAAACTATATAAAATGTGTATACAACAATAATAAAAAGTATGCTAAACTATTAGACTACAACAAGCAGGAATTTTTTCATTAAAGATTAAAATGCAAACCTACAGCAAAAATTCTGTTCTTCATTCATCACCTTCATGTTATTTAAAAGAGTTGTTCCCTGAAAATATGAGCTGTTAAATTAGTATACTCCAAATGAACTATAATATTCTGAGCAAACCAGATCTTAAGTCAATGCTTTTCACATCACAACAAACATAGAAAATGGTAATACCTGTCGAGCATAACTGGTGAAAAAAATGAGACCAGGTGAACAGACTAGGGGTAGGCCACACCAAGCTGCAGATGCTCTCCCCAAAGTTTGAGGGTATCAGCATCCTGACACACACACAACTCACGGATAATATATAATGAAGAAGCCCTGCTTTAGATCACAGAAACATGTGGTGAGGAGAAGCGGAATTGCCAATTACAGAGCAAGTTTGGGAGGAAAAAAGTCCTCCTCTCTCCTACATAGCAATCTCTTACTGTCTAGTCATCTCCTAGCATATCAAGAAAATAGTTCAAACTCTGCATATCTAGAATCTTAATAAATCACTGCTGCTTCTTTTTCATCTGCTCTCTTACCATAAAAGAAAAACTTCTTGTTCATACACTACTTCTAGAGTCAAGAACCCTTTCATCCAGGCACAAACCTTGACATTATCTGAAATTCTTAATTATCAATCATCCTTTACACTCATTAAAATATATACTGAGTGCCATACCATGTGAGGCATACGTGGTATAAGGTACTGTGTGTATAAAGATGAATATGATGGTCTCTGCCTGTGTTGCTCATATCAAACAGCGTAAATATAGCTATATAAAAGCAATTACTATAATTTAAACATATTTTATTAAGTTTAATATTTACATATTTTAATTATTCAATGCTTTACTACAGTAAGTTAATGCTACAATAGTTAACATCGATTGAACCTTACTATATTACAAGAAAACTGCAAAGTGTTTTAAATAGTTTCTTTCAAAAGATAGAGGGTTCCTTTACAAGATGGGCAGGAAATGGATGAAATGATGTCTATTAAGAGTCTTCAAGTTTAAAGCTTGATCTAAGGAAGCAGCAAGCAAGAACATGAAATAGGGATGACTAAGGAAAAGCACTCTATGCAGAAGTAAGGATAAATAATGAAGAGGAACAGAATTTGGCTTGCATAGCCAATAGGAAATACTCTAAATAAACCAGAAAAATATCATTCCAAGGAATAAAGTGGCAAATGAGGCAAAAACTGTCATATATAAAAGCATTTAAAAGTTGGTTAGTCTGTGGAAATGGAAAGACATGGGAGAATTTATTTTAAATAAATGGCGATAAAGATCAGACTTAGTTTTGCAATTTTAACAGCCCAAAAGCCAAACTACAGACATATTAGAAAGCTACTATCAACGAGCAGAGGGGAACTGAAAAGGACCTAAAATAAGGTGGTAAATAGAGAAGAAACTAACAAATTTGCAATATTTTAGAGATAACTGCCAAGTTGAATACTTTTGAAGGGCAGAGTTAAAGGAATATGAGGGAGGAATCAACATGCTTCAAATGACTTTGGTTTCAAAAGACCTCGAAGCCAACAAGGCAAACTGGAAAGATAAAAAGAGGGAGTTGCAGAAGAGGTTCAACTTTGTACCTGATGAACATGAGTTACTGGTAATTCATCAAAGAGGAAAAATAATCTTCAAGAGTTAAATCTAAAAGTCTGAAGCTGAGGAGAGAGATTAAGCATACAGGTAATAATCAGGCTGGTTTTTTTTATATTAACTTATACAAGTTAATACATTAACTTATACAAGTTCTTCATGTATTCTGAATACTAATCCCTCATTGAACATATTGCTTACAAATATCTTCTCCAAATCAGTACTCTGTCTTTGGGTTTCTTCATGATTTCTTTCATAGTATAAGACGAACAACCCAATTTTTTTAAATGGGCAGAGGTCCTGAATAGACATTTTCCCTAATAAGACATACAGATGGTCAACAGGCACATGAAAAAGATGCTCAATAACACTAATCATCAGGGAAATGCAAATCAAAACTACGATGAGATATCACCGCACACCTGTCAGAATGGCTATTATCAAAAAGACAAGAAATAACGAGGGTTGGCAAGATGTGGAGAAAAGAGAATCCACATGCACTGATGGTGGGAGCATAAACTGGTACAGCCACTATAGCAAACAGAATGGGCATTTTTCAAAAAATTCAAAATAAAACTACCATAGGAAGCAATTCCACTACTGAGTAGATATCTGAAGAAAATGAAATCACTAAAATGAAAAGATACATGTTTCCCAATGTTCATAGCAGCATTATTTACAATAGACAAGATATGAAAACAACCTAAGTGTCCATCAACAGATGAATGGATAAAGAAGATGTGATACACACACACACATAATGGAATATTACTCAGCCATAGAAAATAATGAAAATTTTGCCATCTTCAATAACATGGATGAATCTGGAGGTTAACTATATGTAGTAAAGTAAGTCAGAAAAAAGCAAATACTGTTTGTTTTCACTTTTAAGTGGAATCTAAAAAATAAAACGAAGAAACAAACATAACAAAACAGACAGACTCAGATATTGAGAATAAACCAATGGTCACCAAAAGGGAGGGGGCCAGGAGAGTAGTAAGGAGGTGAAAAGGATTGAGTTACAAACTACGAGGTATAAAATAAGTTACAAAGACAGAATGTACAGCATAAGGAACATCCTTAACATTTTATAACTTTGTATGGAATATATTCTATAAAATATTAAATTACTAAGTTGTACACTTGAAACTAATATAATATTGTAAGTCAACTATACTTCAATCAAAAAATTACAGGTAATAAGTTTGGGAGTGCATACAGGGTAGAAATGCAAGCCAAGGATATGGATGCTACAATGGTTCAGGCAATGTGCAGAATGTGAAAAATGGACTTCAGATGAAATAATAGGCAATTTGTAACATTTAAAAGCAGACAGTAAAGCAATCATTCAGTAGGAACCAAAGATCTTTATGGAGTATATGAGTCTGGGAACCAAGGGATACAAGCTAGAGTGGCCCATTTACCATCACTCCCAGTGACCCACATGGGAAATTGTGCTTACTGCACCAACTGTAAGTATTGGAGGTCTTGGTTCCCAAAGAGAGAACAGTTCCACCAGAGAAAACAGGAGTTTTACTGAACTGTATAAGCTAGACCTGCTGCATGGGTAGCAGGCAGAAAGAAGAGTCACCATTCTAGCAGGAATATGTCATGCTAACCTCAGAACTCACAGACCACACAGTGTATATATGATACTCAAATATCTGTCAACAATTAGCACATAAATTTTCTAACACAAGTGCAATTCCCCCAAACTCTGTAATTTGGAGTCGAAGAGGGGGCACCACCATAAAAATAATTTCATTTAGTAAGCACTTACTAAATCCTAGCGAGGTGCTACGTGCTCTCATTTTCTTACTCACACAACCACATACACTCTAATTAAATGCGATGCTAATGCAAAGCCAGGAATTAAGGTAAGAAACAATGAAAAATATAGTAAACTTTTTAGAAATACTTTTACTTTTTATCCATGTTACAATCTCTCAAGAATAAGATATTCACATTGTTTCTCCTACTATAAAAGCATTTTAGTGCCTAGCAGCTACTTCTAAGAAGAAAAAAATTTACCTTTGAATTTCTTCTGGAAAAGTTGCACTGAACATAAGGGTCTGACGCTGTTCCTTTGACGGCATTCCCGGGCAGGAAATTAACTTTTTCATCTCTGGTCCAAAACCCATATCCAGCATGCGATCAGCTTCATCCAAAACTAAGTATTTGACTTGTCTGAGACCAATCTTTTAGGATATTTTCAAGGGTTAGAGCAGAGAATGCATACTAGTTAGTATAGTAGTTGATATATTAAATGAAAATATTCTCATCAAGTCTAACTATTAATATATTCTCAAAGATGAAGATTAGAAATCAATGCATACAATGATGAGACCACTGTTATGGTTAGCTAATAGTATTAGTGTTCATTTCATTTCTCAATTTTGTCTTACATTATAAAACATTTCATAAAACTCAAAGAAACCAAAACATTTAGATAAGTATTACACCATAGACCTTTCTGTAATTACTTAAATATTCTATATCTTCAGTATTATCCAGTAGCCATATGCAGCTATTAAGCACTTGAAATGTAGTTAGTGTGCCTGAAGAACGAACTTTTAATTTTATATCAGTTAAAATGTAAATATCCACACGTAGCTAGTGACTACTGTATTGGACAGCACATATCTAGACTATATTATCTGATAAAGTCAGGCTATTTCATGTAAGAAATAAAATTTCTTAATAGCATGACATTATCAAATGGCCTATAACTGACAAATTTATTTCTAACTCCTTTAAACCCTTAATAAAGCCCCGATTCTCTAACCACTCAGCGACAAATGGAAAACTTTTCTTACCTATCATGAATATTTAGTGCTAAAAACAGAAGCACATATTTGCAAAAAGAAAACAAGTGATTTTGTTACCCTATGAAAGATGGGAAACAAGGTGGGAAATCAAAGTAAATTTCTCTGGATACTCTTAGTAAGTACCATAAGAAAAATTCCTTTCTGCAGAAAGAGCATATTTTTAATAATTCCTTTAAAGAACAGTCTTAAAAAAGCAAAGCAGGGTCATGAAAGTGAACTGAAAATACTGATACAGAGATGTAATAATGTGGTATATGAATACTGAAAATAAATAGCCCTAAAATTGCTCTCCAAAGACAGAAACTTAGCAATCCTGGATAATATCACTCTCACACTTAAAACAGGAGACAAAATTACTGATACCACAAAGGTTTTCTTCCAGGAAAAAAAAAAAAATGATTTCCTCAAGACATATATGAAACTAGAAAAAAGCATTGATTTCATTTTTCTCCCAGTGTAGTGGGTCTAGGATATGGATTCTGGAATCAGATCCAGATTCTAACCCTATCACTTACTAGAGCATAATCTCACTAAAAGTTTATTTTCCCAAGTATAAAATGGAAAATACTATTTACCTATTTGTATTAAGATTTATATAAGAAAGCATTCAAGGAATCAGATGGGAACCTAATACACAAATGGTGCTGTAATGAACATACATGTCTTTACACAAGTTTCTCTCCTTCCCAAACAAAACAATTACTAGTCAATCTCACAACTCTGTTATCCCTCTAGAGCCTACCTTTTCTTTGCCTATGATATCCATCAGTCTCCCAGGAGTAGCACATAATATATTACAGCCTTGTACTATTTGTCGAATTGAATGCCCCAACTGGGTTCCCCCATATGTGACAACTGCTCTTACGCAAGTCCTATTGACAATAAAAATAAATGTCATTTTCTAGTTGCTTGAAAATTAGTCATTTGTTTTTAATGAGATGCAAAATGAAACCCATAAAGAAAAAGCTAATACATTCAACATTCTTTTACAATTCTTCCCAGAAAGTTGAAAAGCTGAGGGAAAAAAATATTTGCAACCTGCCTGATAGAGCTCTTCAAAAACAATGAGAAACACAACCAACACCCATACAACAGGCCAACAACATGAACAAATGTTCATTAAAAATACAGATGGTTTTTAAACACTTTAAGTTCAATATTACTTTTAAAAGCAAAAAAGCAAAGCAAATGAAGTCTAACAAAATTTTCCCTCAAGTGTGATAATGCCATGTTAGCCAGTGTAGGGAAACTGGCACTCAGGGGGATAAATCTCTTTCACAATTTTAGTCTCTATTAAAATTTTAAAACTTATTTTTCCCAATAAATTCACATATAGGAATTTTCCCTTCAGATATATCCCCACAAAGGGGTAAAGATGACTGTGTAATACATTCACTGCTAACATGATTTTTAGTATCAAAAGACTGAAAATTATCTAACAATAAAAAACAGAATAATAGGCCTTCCGTACAAAAGAACACTGAGCATCTATAAAGAGGAGTACAGTTCTATAGTAAGTGTTAGCTCCAATATATACCATTTTTTTTTAAAGGATGGCAACCAAACTTAGTATGCTAAGATTTGTTGAAAGAAGAATTAAAGTGCATATATGTGCACCAGCTCTTTCTATACTATTTCACATAAAACCGTAATAGTGTGTAAACTTTGAAGAGGAGGATTAAAGATAGACAGTTAGACATTTCTCAGTTTTTTGCCACAAAAATGTTCCAACAAATATCCACATACTAATATAGATTTTGTGCATACATATTATCTGAAATATCATTACTGTTTTTTTTAATAAAACTTTTACTTGATTTAAAAGCTCAAAGAGCAACACAATACATGGGGGTCAGTAAGAAATAAACACTGGTATAAGCAATGTACATCTACTTCTTATAAAAGATCTGTCAAGCTTGACATTAAAAGAATTAATAATTTTAGTTTTTTCTCCTCTAATTTCAAATAAACTGATTTATACAAAATAAAAGGTGAAGGTTCTAGATAGAAAGTTCTAAAGAACTGTACAGAAAAACACTAATATACCAACAGATAAATGGGTAGACAACAAATGGATAATTCACAGGGAAAATGTACGAAGCATTCAAAAAGTAGTTCAACCTCTCAATAACCAAATAAATGAAAACATGAAGATAGCTGTAGTGATTTTAAAATATGTACACACACACACAAAAAAAAGAAAATATGTACACAAATTCTTCAATACACCTTCCTTTAAATATAGATCCTAACTCCCTCCAAAGATGTGTGCAAGGCTGGCTTCATAGGTATATAACCTGTGCAGTAATAAAGAGTCCTTTGCTTAAAAAAGACCTGAGCTTGGTTTAATATTCTATTTGCTGCTTTAAAATTCATCATAATTTTTTAACAAAGGACCTTGTACTTTCATTTTGGGCTAGTTCTTGCAAATTATATAGCCAGTCCTGAGTATGAGCTAGACTTCGTGACCTGCTTAGTAATGAAGAGAATACAGCAAAAGTGACTGCAACTGTCTTACAAAAGTCACAGAAACCTCCTCCTTGCTCTTTCTCATTGACCCTCAATCTAAGTGAAGCCAGCTGTCATTTCCTAGAGACAACCATTCTTACAGAGAGATCCAATAAAGCCAGATGACTATAATTCTGGATGACATCTTGTCTGCAACCTCATGAGATGCCAAGCCAGAAACACCCAGCTAAACTGTTTCTCAATTCCTAACCCTCAGAAACTGTAAAATAATATGTACTGTTTTGAGCAACTAGGTTTTAAGATAAGCAGCAACAGATAACTAATCTAATACCAAATAGTGGCAAAGTGTATAGTGAAGTTGGCATTTTCAAATACTGCTGGTAGGAGGGAACTAAGATGGCGGAGAAATAGGACAGGGAGACCACTTTCTCCCCTACAAAATTCATCGAAAGAACATTTAAGCACTGAGCAAACTCCACAAAACAACTTCTGATCGCTAGCAGAGGACATCAGACACCCAGAAAAGCAGCCCATTGTCTTCGGAAGGAGGTAGGACAAAATATAAAAGATAAAAAGAGAGACAATAGAGTTAGGGACGGAGATTCATCCCGGGAAGGGAGTCGTAACAGAGGAAGTTTCCAAACACCAGGAAACCCTCTCACTGGCGGGTCTGGGGGAAATTTTCGTATCTCAGAGGGCAACCTAACTGGGAGGAAAAATAAATAAAACTCAAATATGCTGGTAGAGTGCAAGCTTTAAAATAACTTCATATTCTTTAACATTAAATCTATAAAAATCTACTCTAATAAAATACTTAAAACATAAAAGTAGAAAAAGTTTATAAGCAAGTTGTTCATTAAAGCAAGAACTGCTTTTATTTATAGTAGCCCCAAATTAGAAACAACTTAAATCTTCCAAATAGAGAAATAAAATACAAACACATGGACAATCTTACAGTCATTAAAAATTAGGTCTGATTGTTAAATAAGCGGTCATCCATTTTATGAAGTTATGTGTTAAAGGACAGAAAATTATTAGGAACACCATAAACTCATTTTTAAACATATACTTAAAAACTACCAGAAAACACATGAATATATACGCTGTCTTATTGTTCTACTTCTATCACCATCTAATTTTTAATAAGCATTTTTAAAAACAGATTCTATAAACAAGATTATGAAAAAGTTAACTTCAGTCAAGTAACACCAAATTAAATTATATGACTGCATTCTTATTCATGTACTGAGTTCTTCCCAAAATAAATACAATAATTCTCTAAAGAAAAACTTGTTTGTGAGTTGCATTCCAGATGTACTTACCCAAAAGAAAATTTTCTGGCTTCCAAATAGATCTGATTGATCAACTCTCGAGTTGGTGCTACAATAATACACTCTGGTTCCTGCAGTTCTTTAAAACGACTGGCAGTTATTCCATCACGCATCATATGAGTCAAGATTGGCAAGAGAAAAGCTGCCTAGAAGTTAAATTGCATAACTTACAAAGTTATAAGGCATCATCCTTTTCCCTATGGCAACCTATTCCTCATGTCTTTATATCCTTTAGCTTCTTCTTTCATCTTTTTGATAAATTTAAAATGAGAAACAGAAATAATTTTTATTTCAATGAGTTTCTAACATTTTGATCGTCATGCTCATATTATACAATATAAAATGTTTGATAAAGTTAATCTATCTGATTAAAGTATCTTTTGTGTTTTTTAAAAACAAACACAACCAAAGATTCTACATAAACAAACATTAACTTATTTTGAGGTAAATGAGGAATGTAGCATTTATTATAAATGATTCCTTTTGAGGTAGAAATAAAATCAGAATGCATGACAAAAGTGGTCCACAAAACAGAGCAAAAATTGGGAAAGCATTCATCTGAATTCCTAAACATATCACCCTCATAAAAGTTACATATGGCAAGAGAAACTTTGTGCTACAGTTTTCTTATTAAATAAGACCCTAAAATCTACCTCCAAAACCACATTTAAGTAACACATTAGCTCCTATATTGTACAACTTATTTTCAGTTATTTTCCTTTCAATTCTACTATGGAGGATTTTTAAGACTAATATAGTATGAAGCAAGACTATGATCCTGGAAATGACAGTCTTTAATGCTCATCTCATGGAACCCTATTTAATTCACAAATCTCACAGTTTAGTCCTAAGACCAACTTGGTCCCATCAGAGTTCTTTTAGAATTAGCATAACCAGAGGTCACTTCATACTAAGGACCAGGTACAGTACATAGACAACAACAGTACATACAGCTATTTCTCATTCTCTTGGCTCCAAAACTGTATCAGCTATTACACTGCTGTTGTTAGTCGCTAAGTCATGTCCAACTCTTTTTGACCCCATGGACTGCAGTACGTCAGGCTGCTTTACTATCTCTCGGAGTTTGCTCAAACTCATGTCCATTGAGTTGGTGATGCCATCCAACCATCTCATCCTCTGCCGCCCCCTTCTCCTCCTGCCTTAATCTTTCCCAGCATCAGGGTCGTTTCCAATGAGGTGGCTCTTCACATCAGGTAGCCAAAGTATTGGCGCTTCAGCATCAGTCCGTGCAGTGACTATTCAGGGCTAATTTCTTTTAGGATCGATTGCTTTGATCCCCGTGCTGTCCAAGGGATTCTCGAGAGCCTCCTCCAGCACCAGTTTGAAGCATCAATTCTGTGGCTTTCAGCCTTCTTTAAGGCTCTCACATCCATACATGACTGTTGGAAAAACCTTAGCTTTGACTGTAAGGACCCTTGTAAGCAAAGGGGTAAATTTCTGCTTTTTAATATGCTGTCTAGGTTTGTCATAGCTTTTCTTCCAAGGAGGAAGTGTCTTTTAATTTAGTGGCGGTAGTCACCGTCCACAGTGATTTTGGAGCCCAAGAAAATAAAATCTGTCACTGTTTCCACTTTTTGTTTTCCATCTATTTGCCATGAAATGATGGGAAAAACTTCACATTACATAAATTATTTTTTCCCTTGCTCTTATAATCAAAGGTCTTATAACCTTTGGTGCTTTGACTCTCAGTTATTTTGTTTTAAATATTACGTCCCACAGAAGGAGCTGAATACACTTATAGATTAAACATCTATGAACTACAAAACACTACTCTAGAAATAGTTCAAAATTCTTTCTTCAAAAGTATACAAACTTCAATAAAACCAGAAATCAGAGGCAAAAACATGAGTATTTATGACAGTTCACTAAAATCATCTACTTGGGAAGAACCAAAGTTCAAAAAGTGACAGTTTGAATACTGGGCAAAATATATGTAGGGAAGTGACTTACAGTCTTTCCAGAGCCTGTCTGAGCACAAGCCATCAAATCTCGTCCGCCTAGTATAATAGGAATACTGTGTTTTTGCACAGGAGTAAGCTTAGTATAACCAGCTTTAGCAATGTTGCTCTTCAGTGTCTGACAAAGATTAGCTTCTTCAAAAGTCTAAAAAAAATCAGGGGGCAGTGGTTAAATTCCATGTATCATACACTAGTCATTCCATAAACATATTCCATTTGAATTGGTTTCAAGTTGTTAATTCTACTTTATATAATACATATGCCCCCATTCAAAAGTAATATCTAGAACCTCTATGTGACTACTTGATAGAATTAAGGAATATTCCATATAGACAACGGCTCTAAAAACTTTTTCAGCCCCCTTAAAACCTGTGAGATACAAGTAACTCTGATCAATAAAATCGGTTCATTATCAACAGGGAACTCTGGGCTCCCTGACTCCTTAGAAAATCATTCCCCTAAGATGCACTTTCTCACATACGTAGAAAGCAGAAATATTGAATCTTTAGGAAAAGTATCCTTTTTAATAAATTTAAATCAAGTTTCCATCCTAGTTTGAGGAGGTGGGGAGGAAATATAGTACCCTCCCTTTCAACACAGCAATTAATTCTAATGTAGATGTTAAGATACGATTCTAAATTTCCAACCTAAGACATTAAATACTAAAGATGAAATTTTTGTATTCTTTAATATCAACTTAAAGAAATGTTTCAAATTTTTAAAAAACAAAGTTTTTCTCACAGTCATTACAGAAACAATTATTACACTGACCAGAATTGCTGGTGGTGGATCATGTCCAGATATTTCTACAAGAATAGTATCATATTTGTCAAAGTTTATGCCTGTCTGATAATGTGCAAAGATGGAGTCCTCATCTTCAGGTGGAGGAGGTGGTATGTAGGTCACTTTTGGTCCTTAGAATTTAAAAGAAAATTTACATTATAAGGAGTAGAATAAAAATAAAAGAGAAAACAGACAAAAACCAACAAACCCAAATTCAAAACAACATGCAAATTCCTGGGCTTTGCTGGTGGCTCACTGGTAAAGAATCCACCTGCCAATGCAGGAAACACGAGTTCAATTCCTGCCCCAGGAAAATCTCACATGCCACAGAGCAACTAAGCCCATGTGCAGCCTGTGCTCTAGAGCCCAGGAGCTGCAACTACTGAGCCTACGTATCACAACGACTGAAGCCCGTGCACCTTAGAGCCCATGTTCTGCATCAAGAAAAGCCACCACAACAAGAAGACCGCAACTAGAGAGGAGCCCTCAGTCTCCGCAACTAGAGAAAAGCCTGTGTAGCAACAAAGACCTAGCACAGCCAAAAGTAAATAAAATTACAAAAAAAAGTTCCCAAGGTTTACCATTAAAGTTTTTACTTCAAACTTTTTAAAGTTATCTCTTTAAATATTCTGCATTTGTATTAAAATATAATATACATCTATGTGGATCACACAAAAATTAATATACCCTGAGTGTCACCACCTTCTCCTCTTTCAGCTTCTGACTTCCAAGAATCTTAAAAGGAATCAAACGAAAACAAGACAAATGTTTTTTAAAATCAAGGGGTAAAACAATACTCACTATAAAAATCAAATACCTTATCTAAAGTAAAACTTACTCTTTCCAGAGCCGGTAATTACTTCTTCATTTAAACCTTTGTAACCACCTATTAAAGAAATACACAGTGATAGTCAGTCAATATACAAGACTGTGTATATCTTTATTTTTGTTGCTTGTCTTCAAAGAGAAAAAGTTCTAAACATGGATGGTCCCTTCGAACAAATAATATTTAAGACAATTAAGATAAATAGAAGCCTGAATAGTTTAAGTTTTCTTAGCATTCAAAATGCTGGCTTTATGCAGGTTACAATGTTATAACATATTAGTATCTTCTTGTTTAAGCTGTTATGTCTCTTTCCTATTCCTATATTCCTCAACAAAGGAATATATTTTCTAAGAGGAACTAAAAGTCCATCTCTGTTTAGATGTCCCCACTATAACCTACAGGTTCTATGATTTGCTAGGACTCAGAATACAGTCAAAACTATGGCTGTGACTTATTACATAGAAAAGATATGGAGCAAAATGAGCAAAGGAAAAAAGGGTATGGAGAAAAGGCCAGAGAAGACCAGGTGCAAGCTTTTAAGAGTCACTCCCCCTGGTGTCATACAGGACGAGTTGTGACAACATCCTGAAAATGTTTACCAGAGCAATTAATTAGAGATTCAATATCCAGGGTTCTTATGAGGGGCTGATAAAGCAGGCAGGCACCTTCTGCCTGGCATGTACCAAATTTCCCAACTCCCAGAAGAAAAGTGGGTATTCGTCATAAACCACATTGTTTTACAAACCATTTAGGTACAGTGGACCACTCACACTGGTTAAGGGTATTGAGACCCCTCCCAAAATCCAAGTTCCCAGAAGTCAGGGAAGGGTCTTGTAAGGACTTTCCAAGAAGAGCAGTCAGGCCTATCATGTTAACTCTTTTCCACACACCACCTTTCTGGTTTCTAGACAAGGAGTCATTGACTGTGCCACTTTCAGGTACTATCACAAAAACAATAAGGACTGTATTAGCTTTGAAAGGCTAACAGATAGCACTTTAATATGTGCACTCTCTAATTTTTTTGTCCTGTATGTCCACAGGTCTTCAAACCCCTTTTCAAACAAGATCTAAAAATTTGTATAAAACATGGGTTAGCCATTAATAATTTTTTTTCTACACTGAAGAAACCAAGAATCTGAAAGTGAAGCAGGGAAAAGTGGTTCAAGGGAACTGCCACTCTGAATGCTCTCAGACTAATAATGATCACAGAATTTTTCAGATATTAAGCAAGCTTTATTGTTTTACTAGTGTGGAAAATATTTTAACTTTTATATGAAATTTAAGCATTTTTAACTCTGAGATTTTTTTTTTAATAGTATAAAATTATCTATACTGAACTTTCTTTATCCCCTACACCAAGCTATCGATCTCATAAGAAAAATTATTTTAATATAAGAATCTGTAAATATAGATTACATCTCAGTCTTTAACATTTGCATGGTAACTCCCATTTTATGGTTATGTTATTTATTAAGCAGTTATTTATTGATGAATTTTAGGTGATTTTCAGTTTTCACGTATGAAGCTTATGTGAACATCCTTTTACATGTATTGAGCATATATACCTACAGTATATAATGGAACTGCTGGATTAAAGAGTAGTAGTAAACAACTTGCTTCCCCTGGAGTAGGAAATGACAACCCACTCCAGTATTCTTGCCTGGAAAATCCCATGGACAGATAAGCGTGGTGGGTTATAGTCCACAGGGTTGCAAGAGTCAGACACAACACAGCGACTTAACAACAAAAGCAAACAACTTCTCCAAACTGGCCGTGCAAATGTATACTCCTCAAAGTGTGTATAAAAGCAGCAACAGTTACCTTAACTTCAAAAATTAAACTTGAATTACAGTCATTTTAACCTCTTATAGATAAACCAAATAAGAACTCACCTCGTCCACTTCCACTACCACTTCTGCTTTGGAAAGTGTCACCATTACCTGTAAGGCATTGTTTTACAGAAATATTCAGAGGAAACACAGCTCCTCTTCAAGCACACAGAATATATAGCTATTTCTTTTCAAGTACTGAGTAATTTCTCAGGATTCCTAGACCCTTAACCCACCCATCTCCTAATTCTATATTTAACTAAAAACTTTTTCTCGTCTGAACATTTTGTTTAAACACTTCATTTTTTAAGCAATTTCAGGTTCACAGAAACATTAAGGGGAAAATGCAGAGACTTCCCAAATACTTTCAGTCCTCACACCTGCATACTCCACACCCCCCTGACATAATCAACACTCCCCACAAGAAAGGTATTTTGTTACAGTTGATAAACCTATATACTGGCACATCATAATCACCCAAAGTCCGTGGTTTACATTACAGCTCATTCATGGTACTGTAGTGTTTTTTATGTTTGCAAAAATGTATCATGGCATGTCTCCATCATTATAGTATCATACACAGTAACTTCACTACCCTAAAAATTCTCAGTGCTCTGTCTGTTCATCCCTTCCCTGAACCCCTAGCAACCACGCAATTTTTTTCAGCCCTCTTCTTACAGTTTTGCCTTTTACAGAATGTCATACAGAGTTGGAATCGTACAGTATACTGTCTTTTCAGATTGGCTTCTTTCACTCAGTAGCACATATTTAGAGCTTCCCCAGTGGCTCAGCAGTAAAGAATCTGCCTGCAATGCAGGAGTCACAGGAGACGCAGGTTCAATCCCTGGGTTGGCAAGATCCCCTGGAGGAGGGCATGGCAACCCACTATAATATTCCTGCCTAAAGAATCCCATGGACAGAGGAGCCTGGTGAGCTATAGTCCATGGGGTTGCAAAGAATCTGACACAACTGAAGTGACTGAGCATGCACACAGTATGTGTTTTCAGGCTTGATACACCTCATTTCTTTTTAATACCACAGTTCATTTAACTACTTTTAAACATTTCATCAACAGAATGCTTCTTTTTTTCTCCTCAAATTCCCTCAGAATCCTTTCTTTGAAACCAAAGGAAACTTCACTTTCCTTCTTCTAATTAGAAGTATAACTTATATCTCAAATTAACTGGTAGATAAGAAAGAAGGAATAATTCACAGAGCACAAAGTTTATAAGGGAGGGAAAACTGTCCATTTTCTTTTTGCCTACAAATCTAAAAGCAGAGATAATCATGAACCAATCTAATATACTTTAAAATATATATTAGGTTCAATAATCCTAGAGCTAAAAGCAAATGTGAATGATTAATATTCAGTAATAAATTCTATTTTTCACCTGCACCACTTAATGCTGATCTTCTAGAACCAAAAATGCCACCAGAGCGCTGGGTCCCCTCATCTTGTTCATGAATATCTAGATTTACAGATAAAAAAATTAGATTGTTACTTCTAAAACCTTTTAAGTCATGCAGTAAACAGAAAAAAATCAATTTATGGTGCCATGAGTTAAAAAGATGTAGGATAAAATAATTTAAATTTAACAGAAATCATAGTGTTTTTGAAGTATTGCACAGAAGGATTTTTCCATAAATTATTTCCTTCAATTATAAATTACTTTCTCAAAATTTTATTAAAATTAGCTTATAAAAGTATTCAGAGCTAATACTACACCAAAATATGATATAAGCAAGTTAAATTACCTTTGAAAAACAGCACTGTTGCTGCCCCTCAAAATTTCACATTACATAATCTTACTGCTTATTCTCCAGAATAGCATCCCTTGGTACCCACTGCACTCAAATAAAAATTTACCAGTCTTAAACAGCATCCCTGTGGATCTCTTCACTTTTTAAAAAATGACAATTCACTAATCTGCTACACATATATTAAATCATTATATTAGTTTACATTTTTAGTTTCACTACTCTGTTCTCCTCTGTTGAGAGAGACATGCATTCCAAAAGTGACTTCAGGAGACAATATCTTAGCACCAAGGAAGATGACTGGAAAAATTTAGGTAGAAAGCCACACTGGTATAAGAAGGTATAATGGGAGGCTGAATCATGAGAATGCCACTTATTTGTAAGGTCAGCCATCTTTATCAAAGCTCTAAAACGCTTCACAGCATGTAATATTAAAGAACTGCATCACACAAACGGTTAGAAAGATTCACATATTCTCATTTAATCTATAAGAATTACATATGTCTATAAAATAATATTTTACATAGCATAAGTGATTATGTACCAGCCATTATACTAAACCGTTCTCATATAGTCATAACAATCTTATATGTGATAGGTGTTATTTTTAATCATTTCTTTAATAAATGAAGCACAGTATTTGCAATCCACTACTAACTTGGACTTCCTAGACCAAATCCTCCACGGCAACCTCGGAAACTACCTCTTCCACCTCTTCTGGATGATCCTGAAGCTTCTGAATCATTGCCGTCTTGATAACCTATAATATTAAAACACAAACACACAAATGACACAAAAACCGACAAAGAAATCTTGGGGACATGGTGGCCAAGTTAATTTAAGCCTTGCATAATTCAATGACTTTAATATTTTAAGTCATCAACAGATAGTTACTAAAGAGAAATGCTGTATTTGACCTATAAATGTTCAACTTTACCAGTAAATAAATAAAAGCTATGATCTTTTTTTAAAAATCCACTATTTGCTTTGCAAACAAAACCTAATAACAACTAAAAAGAAAAAGTGACACCTATAAACACTGTGGTGTTGGAGAAGACTCTTGAGAGTCCCTTGGACTGCAAGGACATCAGACCAGTCAATCCTAAAGCAAATAATTCCTGATTATTCATTGGAAGGACTGATGCTGAAGCTGAAACTCCAACATTTTGGCCACCTGATGCGAAGAACTGACTCACTGGAAAAGACCCTGATGCTGGGAAAGATTGAAGGTGGGAGGAGAAGGGGACAACAGAGGATGAGATGGTTGGATGGCATCACCAACTCAATGGACATGAGTTTGAACAAGCTATGGATGTTGGTGATGGACAGGGAAGCCTGGTGTGCTGAGTCCACAGGGTCGCAGAGAGCCTGAGTGATTGAACTGAACTGAATGTCCTGAAAATATCAATTACGTCTAACTGTCCTAATACATCATCTATGATCTCTGTTGCCTTATCGATTTTCTGTCTGGAAGATTTGTCCACTGACGTCAGTGAGGTGTTAAAAGTCTCCTCTATTGTTGTATTCCCACCCATTTCTTCCTTTAGGTCTGTTAGTATTTGTTTTCTATATTTCAGTTCAGTTCAGTTGCGCAGTCTTGTCTGACTCTTTGTGACCCCACTGGACTTCAGCACGCCAGGCATCCCCGTCCATCACCAACTCCCGGAGTTTACTCAAACTCTTGTCCATCAGGTCGGTGATGTCATCCAACCATCTTATCCTCTGTCATCCCCTTCTCCTCCCGTCTTCAATCTTTCCCAGCATCAGGGTCTTTTCCAATGAGTCAGTTCTTCAGTGGCCAAAGTACTGGAGCCTCAGCTTCAGCATCAGCCTTTCCAATGAATAGTCAGGTGGTATTTGCTTTAGGATTGACTGGCTGGACTCCTTGCAGTCCAGAGGGCTCTCAAGAGTCTTCTCCAACACCACAGTTCAAAAGCATTAATTCTTCAGCGCTCAGCTTTCTTTACAGTCCAACTCTCACATCCATACATGACTACTGGAAAGACCATAGCCTTGACTAGATGGACCTTTGTTGGCAAAGTCTCTGCTCTTTAATACACTGTCTACGTTGGTCATAACTTTCCTTCCAAGGAGCAAGTGCCCTTTAATTTCATGGCTGCAATCACCATCCACAGTGATTTTGGAGCCCAGAAAAATAAAGTCAGCCACTGTTTCCCCATCTATTTGCCATGAACTGATGGGACCAGATGCCATCTTAGTTTTCTGAATGTTGAGTTTTAAGCCAACTTTTTCACTCTCCTTTCACTTTCATCAAGAGGCTCTTTAGTTCTTCACTCTCTGCCATAAGGGTGGCATCATCTGCATGTCTGAGTTTACTGATATTTCTCCTGGCAATCTTGATTCCAGCTTGTGCTTCCTCCAGCCCAGCATTTCTCATGATGTACTCTGCATATAAGTTAAATAAGCAGCGTGACAATATACAGCCTTGACGTACTCCTTTTCCTATATGGAACAAGTCTATTGTTCCATGTCCAGTTCTAACTGTTGCTTCCTGACCTGCATACAGGTTTCTCAAGAGGCAGGTCAAGTGGTCTGGTATTCCCATCTCCTTCAGAATTTTCCACAGTTTATTGTGATCCACACAGTCAAAAGCTTCACCATAGTCAATAAGGCAGAAATAGATATTTTTCTGGAACTCTCGTGCTTTTTCGATGATCCAGCAGATATTGGCAATTTGATCTCTGGTTCCTCTGCCTTTTCTAAAACCAGCTTGAATATCTGGAAGTTCATGGTTCACGTATTGCTGAAGCCTGGCTTGGAGAATTTTGAGCATTACTTTGCTAGCGTGTGAGATGAATGCAATTGTGTGGTAGTTTGAGCATCCTTTGGTATTGCCTTTCTTTGGGATCGGAATGAAAGCTGACCTTTTCCAGACCTGTGGCCACTGCTGAGTTTTCCTTATTTGCTGGCATATTGAGTGCAGCACTTTCACAGAATCACCTTCCAGAATTTGAAACAGCTCAACTGGAATTCCATCACCTCCACTAGCTTTGTTCGTAGTGATGCTTCCTAAGGCCCACTTGACTTTGCATTCCAGGACATCTGGCTCTACACTATCATGATTATCTGGGTCGTGAAGATCTTTTTTGTACAGTTCTTCTGTGTATTCTTGCCACCTCTTCTTAACATCTTCTGCTTCTGTTAGGTCCATACAATTTCTGTCCTTTATTGAGCCAATCTTTGCATGAAATGTTCCCTTGGTATCTCTAATTTTTTTGAAGAGATGTCTAGTCTTTCCCATTCTATAGTCTTCCTCTATTTCTTTGCACCGATCACTGAGGAACGCTTTCTTTCTCTCTTTGCTATTCTGTAGAAACTTACATTCTTTGGAATACTTTATTCTTACTCTATTTTATCTTATTTTATGACAGATAGGATATCTGCCATACATCTACTAATTGAACTGCATGGAAAGCTGTTAATTTCTGTATGCTGATTTCACAATCTAACACATTTGATATCATTTTCAGTGGTTGATAAACTATGTATTCTTTCGTATTTTAGAAATATATAATCAAGTCATATGCTGTGCTTTCTTTTCAAGGTCCTGTATCTTCAGTAACTTTTTTCTGATTGCACTGGCCTTCCACACAACATTAGGTAGAAACGGAGGTGGTGGAGTAGCAGGCAATGATGATGCCCCTCCTGGACTCCTTCACTGGGCCAGTGCACTGTCGCCAACCCCAGTATGCAACTGGATCATATGTGCATACTTATTTTGAAGAACTGCCCTCGACCAATGGGAGTGGCCTCCATGGGATGCCTGGGAAGTGGTGCCCACCCCATGGAGCAGCCCACAGCCATGTAACCCCATACATTTTTATATGGTCTGTTTTTATAGTCATTCCATTCTAAATATTTCATCATTTCCACATAAATTACTATTCATAAACTGAGAAATGCAGTTCCCAAACCACAAGGGTCAGGCGTCTGTTATTGATTTCTACTTTTAATGTACTTTAACAAGCAGCCATATATACCTTAATAATTACAATATGGTCTATGATACAAATTCTATATCTTGGGCCTTTCTTTTAGCCTTAATAGATTTTCAAATTGTGTATATTTTCTATATGCTAGAAAAGGATCTGTAATTTGTAATTTGGTAATATATCACTTCAAACAGAACTATTAAATCAAGCTTAATAACTGATATTCAAATCCTATATTCAAATCTTCTGTAGTCTTACTCATTTCTAGTCTGCTCAGTCTTATCAGTTTTTGAAAAATAAAACAGTTTAAAATCCTAATGGTGATTAACTGTTTAACTAGGGTTTGCACATTTTTCCTTATTTCAATTTTTGCCCTATATATTTTAAGACTATGTTGTTAGATTCAAAGCATGTTCAGAACTGTATCTGCCTTAGAGTCTATTTTGTCTATTTCTACATCAGCTTTGTTTAATAATGTACTGATATTTTTTCTCTTTATTCTCAACTCTGCATTGAAATGCTTACATAAAATTACTGATACATGTATTTTTACTCCTATTATCTTATTTTGTGTTTTCTCTTCACTGAGTTCTTTCAGTGCTTCCTGTTTTCCTTTCTGGCCTTCTATTAAATATCCCCAAAGGCTGTATTTTATTTAATGATTTTACTGACATCCTTCAATGTCACCATGGATATTGAAGCTATTATTAAAATTATTTTCAACCTAATCTCCTTCCTACAAAGTCCTCTCCTCTTTCTATTGCATTTCCTCCACTAGTAAGTTACTTATTTTATTCTTTTTCTGATTACCCCAACATTTTACCATATTTAAGATATCTTTAATTTCAATCTATTCTTGTTTTTACTAATAAGAACTGACAAAGAACTGTCTTTTCATTTAAAATTTTAGTTCTTTTTTATTTCTAAATAACCCTAAATTAATCATCATTATTACTAGCTCATGCAGTCAATATGCTTTCAATTATACCAATATGCCTATGAATTTTGAAATTTTATTTATTTTGGCTCATCATTGCTTCCTACTTTCTTCCAAAGCTCAGTTTCCTTTTTACTAATATGATTTAACAGTTCTTTCCTCAATCGCCTAAAAGTATTAAACATCATCTTTACCCAAAATATTATTTCTAACACCCAAATTATCTGAAAACAGCAGCTTGGGTTCAGAGGTATTCTCCCTTAGTATTCTGAATTCTACCTTATTCTGACCTCTGTCTGCCCTTACTGAAAAAAATTTATGTTGTTGACCTACTGTTCTTTTATCAGTTCAGTACAGTCTCTCAGTTATGTCTGACTCTTTGAGACCCGATGGACTGCAGCACACCAGGCTTCCCTGTCCATCACCAACTCCTGCGGCTTACTCAAACTCATGTCCATCGAGTCGGGTGACATCATTCAAACATCTCATCCTCTGTTGTCCCCTTCTCCTCCCACCTTCAATCTTTCCCAGCATCAGGGTCTTTTCCAATGAGTTAGTTCTTCGCATCAGGTGGCCAAAGTACTGAAGCTTCAGTTTCAGCATCAGTCCTTCCAATGAATATTTAGGAATGATTCCCTTTAGGATTGACTGGTTTGATCTCCTTGTAGTCCAAGGGACTTTCAAGAGAGTCTTCTCCAACACTACAGTTCAAAAGCATCAATTCTTCTGAGCTCACTTTTCTTTATAGTCCAACTCTCACATCCATACATGACTCCTGGAAAAACCGTACCTTTGACTAGGCGGACTTTTGCTGGCAAAGTAATGTCTCTGCTTTTTAATATGCTGTCTAGGTCATAGTTTTTCTTCCAA